CACCTCTCTGGGAGTATTTTCTGCAATACTCAGAGCCTAAATTTTTGCTTTGCACCTTTTTAATTTCTCCCCCAAACCATCCAATCTGCACTGGAATGCTTCAGAAAGTGTGTACACACTAGCCTCAATTCCCTGTCTCTGGTACTACTGTCAAATTCAACAACCTACATAAATGACTGGGATTCTTAACTATCCTCTTACTCTTGAAAAGCTGGCCTGCACCTTCAATTCCTGGGCCATGTAAGAATGTCAGAGTTTGCCCGTTCTGACAAATCAGAAAAGAAAAGATGGCAGACAGACAGAAGGTATCACGTAGAAGTGAGGAAGGAAATGAATGAGGTCCTGTGTTACTATTTATGGAGCCCTTCACAGCAGAGGGGCAGCCCTGTTTAATGTAGTTCTAATCAAAAAGAAAAAACAAAAGGAAAGGATAAAGAGAACAGAAAAAAGTCAGTTCAGAAAGCTAAACAGGAGAGGTGAGGAAGAAATGAGCAGATATTGAAAGATCCAAAGTGAAAACAAAAAATGAACAGAAGATATTAACTGCAAACAAACTTGTCATGAAGTCAGAAAAGTTTAGGACAGCTCTACGACGACTGGTTCTGGGCTAATACCCCAAGAGTGGTGTTTTCAGTTAAATTAGTTTTTCTAGAAATAAGCTAAGTAATGGAAAGAGGGGAAGGGGAAGTGCCTGCAGGAAGACTGGCATTTTTTCATGGTAAATGTCAATTTAGTTTAGATGATGGACCCTGTGAAAAGTCAGAGCAGAATTTTAATAATTCATGCTAGCCTGAACTTCTTAACCCTGATTTGAATTTAACAAAGACTGTCTGTTTTCATACGAACGATAAACGTATGCATAGTTTTTACAGTATTATTTTTGTTTTAAAGAAAGTTGGCTTTTCTGTAAATCCTATCAGTTTATTTCCCCAGACTAAAAAGATTAAGAGGGAAACATACAAACAAGTGAGTTATACATACAGTGTAAAACAACAGGTGAAAAAGAAGGCCACTGTAATATATTTTTAAAGTACACTATGTGAACTAAGCCAATATGTCACATCTCTGTCACATAATACAGTTGTTGCATTTCCCTTAAAAAATAATGTTTATGGTAGTGCTGGGCTGACTTTATCAGAGACTGAAATCAAGTAATTTAGCCACCAAACAGGCATTGTGTAGGCAAGCTTTCCTGCACCAATATGCTTTGATCTTGATTTGGAGGGACCTTTTTTCAGGGAGAGAAGAATGTCCATAACCATTCATTGGAGCCTCTGCTGAGACAACAAAAGTGCCAATTTTTATGATAACGCGTGTGATATGGACAACTGATTCCATACAGACTTTCTGTAACCATCTACTTCAGACTCTAAAAATGGAAAAGACCTAATAGGTTATCCAGGGTATTAAAGTATCAGGGGTAGCCATGTTAGTCTGTATCCACAAAAACAACAAGGAGTCCGGTGGCACCTTAAAGACGAACAGATTTATTTGGACATAAGCTTTCGTGGGCTGGAACACACTTCATCAGATGCATGATGTTAAAGAATCATAGAAATGAAGGACCAGGAGGGACCTCAGTTGGTCACCTAGTCCAGTCCCCTGCACTGAGGCATGATGAAGCATTATCTAGACCATCCTTGACAGGTGTTTGTCTAACCTGCTCTTAAAAGCCTCCAATGATGGAGATTCCACAAACTCCCTAGGAAATTTGTTCCCACGCTTAACTACTCTGACAATCAAGAAGTTTTTCCTAATGTCTAACCTAATTTTCTCTTGCTGCAGTTTAAGCCCATTGCTTCTTGTCCTGTCCTCAGTCATAAGAAAAACAACTTATCGCTCGTGTTTATAACAACCTTTTACGTACTTGAAGACTTATCACATCCCCCCTCAGTCTTCTCCAAACTAAAACCCTTCTTTTTTCTCAATCTTTCCTCATATAGGCCATGTTTTCCAGACTTTTAATAATTTTTGTTGCTTTCTTCTGGACTTTCTCCAATTTGTCCACATCTTTCCAGAAGTATGGTTGCCAAAACTGAATGCAATACACCAATCGAGGCCTTATCGCTACTGAGTAGAGTGGAAGAATAACTTCTCATGTCTGGATTACAAGACCCCTGCTAAAACATCCCAGAATGATGTTTGCTTTATTTGCAATAGTATTACATTATTGACGCTCATTTAGTCTGTGATCTACTATAACCTCCAGATCCTTTCCGACTGTACTCCTCCCTAGGCAGTCATTTCCCATTTTGTATTTGTGCAGTGTATTATTCCTTCCTAAGTGTAGTACTATGCATTTGTTATTATTGAATTTCATCCTATTTCAGACCATTTCTGCAGTTTGTCAAAGTCATTTTGAATTCTAATCCCGTCATCAAAAGTGCTTGCAACTCCTCCCAGCATGGTGTTGTCTGCACACTTTATGAATGTACTCTCTATCCCATTATCCAAATCATTTATGAAGATATTGAATAGAACTGGACTCAGGGCAGACCCCTATGGGACCCCACTTGATATGCCCTTCCAGATTGATTGTGAAACAGTGATAACTACTCTGAGTTAGCTTTTCCAAACAGTGCACACCCACCTTATAATACGTTTGTCCAGGCTCTATTTCTCTAGTTTATGAGAAGGTCATGTGATAGAGCACTAAAAGCCTTACTAAAGTCAAGACATACCACATCTACTGCCTCCCCTGCCCATCCACAAGGCTTGTTGCAATGTCAAAGAAGGTTATTCGGATGGTTTGACATGATTTGTCCTTGATTTATCACCTTATTTTCCTCTAGATGCTTACAAATTGATTGTTTGATTATTTGCTCCATTATCTTTCTGGATACCAAAATTAAGCTGACTGATCTATATTTAGGGCTCTGTGTCTGTCATGGAAGTCACGGATTCCATGCCTTCCGCGACCTCTGTGACTTCTGCAGCAGCTGGTGTGCCTGGCTCCAGGGCCAGCTGCCCAGGTGGCCCCAGGGACAGCCATACCAGCTGCTACTGTAGTGGCCTCTGGGTCAGCCAAACCAGCCACTTCTCGGCCGTGGCCCCAGGCAGAAGTCTCAGAGCGACCGCAGTCCCTGGGTGGCCCCCAGCAGCTGGTGCCGCTGGCCCCAGACGTGCACCGACCCCAAGATTTAGTTAGAGGTATTTTTAGTGTAAGTCATGGATCGGTCACGGACTGTGAATTTTTGTTTATTGTTCGTGACCTGTTCATGACTTACACTAAAAATACCCGTGACTAAATTGTAGCCTTATCTATAATTCCCTTATTTGTCCTTGTTCCCCTTTTCATGGAGAGGTACTATATTTGCCCTTTTTCAGTTTTCTGGAATCACTCCTGTCCTCCACGAGTTCTCAGAGATGATCACTAATGGCTCATATCTCCTCACACAGTTCCTTTACTATTCTAAAATATAGTTCACCATTTGACTCGAAGACATCTAACTTTTCTAAGTAATTCTTAACTTGTTAAAACTTGTATCAAACTTTTTCAGAGATGTGGACCATATCTTAACAGAAAGATTGTCTTTTGGTTCATCTCTCTATCAATTCTAAATCAGAGGCATTTATTTAACATCCTTTTAGAAATTACAAAAACTACCTACCAGTTGGACGTATCTAGGGCTTACTATTCAAAAGTACTGAGCACTCACAACTCAAATGAAAGTACAGCTGATGTTCCAAAAATTCAGGCCCCAAAAGTATCTCAAACTAGTTGCCCAATCATTGAAACACTTAAAGTTAGTGGATACTCTTGCAAGTTTTGGCCGTACTTTCTCTATTGCTCAGTTTCCTACTTACAAAAAAAAGGGACCATACCTCCCTGCCTGAGACAGAGATAAATTGATGAACCACTCAGATGCTATGGTAATGCAAACCTGAGAAAACTCCATGAACAAAATTAATTCTAAATGCAATGCAACAGTTGGACAGTATATAGCAAATATGATAGGGGGTGCACATTGAGTAGTGAGGCTAAAAAGTAATATTGAACTGCTGCCTCACTTATGGAGAGCTGTCCATCCTGTGCCCTGAATGAGGCAGAAGTCCTATGGAAAAAATAGTATGAACATGTAATTAAAGATTATCAATTCATATGCATTACGTGCAGAACTAAAGTCGTATGGGCATCCTAATTCTGGCATTTCCTGGCACCTGAATTCTGGACTTTGCAACTTCAACATTCTTTTATCATTTTTTTTTTGCTATATTTTATATACACACATAAACACACCCCACATATATTCTAAATGGAAGAAATATTTTTTTGTCATCATTGTAAGGGCAGGAAAGTAGATTTTGTGCCGAGGCTGTTAAGTGAGAGTGCCATAAACTTATAGGCTAAGCATGTGTACAGTAGATAGACAAATTATACTCAGGAAAGCTTAGCTTTGCTTTCTAGTTTACAGGTCTGACATCAGAAATTTACCACAGCCATGATCTCTCTCAAATTCTTCATCTTCCCTTTTAACTCTGCATATTCCTACAATTACAACATACTGCATCTAAAAGTATTCCAGATTAGGGGAAAGACACTTTGTAATTCTCTCCTCCTACTTTGTACGCATCATATTTTGTGATGAACATTTATTTGCTTCAAAAAATACATTTATATCTCCACAGAATTCAAAGACAATTACTCTTCTGTTCCTTGGGAGAGACCTCACAAGAACTGCTTCTATTTGCAGCACCCACAGCTATTTCCATCCAACTGTTCTGCTGCGTTAAGCTGTGTCCTTCTTCATTACAAGCATAAAAACTAAAAATTGATGTAACTTTTATTAACACCAGTGTAGTCCAAAAGATGGAAATGCATAACCTAAAGGCACAACATGAAGTCAAAACAATACATAAGCTTTCATATAAGCTTTCAAGTGCTTATAGTTTCCTACAGGTTGCCAATGAGCAGCAGATTTCCATTACTGCTTTATTGAGAAAAAACATCCATGAAGATTAATTACAGGTAGGACCATCCAAACAGCATGAACTCTAACCTTTATGCTTCCTCCAATGAGATCAGGCGGCTCTTCATCTGTTTCTAAGGCAACATTGATGGAGGCAAAGGGACGGCTAGCCATCTGTTGCATCTCACGGAGTAGTTGCTAGTGAATAAACACAGAGATATTAATACACTGTTCCAACATATAGAATACAAAAATGTTTGACAGATTTTACTGAATATGGAAAGATATGGACTCCAGCATGCAAACATTTCAAAACAAATTCCTGATGCTTTCACTGGGCATAAAGATGACACAAGGGAACCTGATGAGAACAATTTCTAAATAAAACCAATTGTATAAATATAAACAGGTCTAAGTAACTCCACTCTGAAAATTTTGTAAGTCTACACAAATCAGACAGCTGCCAGTGTACTTACCATATTGGTATACCACAAATTAACATTAAACAGTCCTGTGTATTAGTCTAAACATGCCAAATGTATCTGTGAACAGCAAGTATGGCTTGCAGGAATATGTTTTATTCAAATACAATACACGTTCCTGAATAAATCTTTAGAAGCCCCTAAAACACATTGTTCTCTTTACAAGTTGAGTTTTAGTGTTATGGTTCGCTCTCAGACATACAATGGCAGTCTCTAAGTGGCAGACTGCAGTTCCAACTTTAGTTTAGCAGTAGTATGGAAAGATATCCTTTTTAGCTCCTGTGGTTAAAAGTCCTTTGCACTAACTGCAGATCAAGTGATTGGTAACGAGATGTAGGTGTCAAACATCAATTCCAGCAGGACTGGGAATGATGTGGCACACTGCCTGTAAATAATGGAACAGTGATATGACACATTGGAAACAAATAGCATCAGCCACTTAAAGATCAGCATACTAATGAAATCCCTCTGATTTATATACTTACAGTATTTAGTATTTCACTTTTGCATTACTATTACCTATAGTATTACCTTACTATAACTACTACTTCTAATCCCAAAGCAACTTTGCTGACATATGGAACAGTACGTATCACCATTCATTCCTGTCCAGGGCTTGGTCATGTCCCTCCAGATGATGTCCCACCCTATAGTTGGTGGTTGGCCTCTAGGTCTGACTCACTTTGTTTGTACTTGTACTATTTTCACCGGCATCCTATCATCTGTCTTCTGCAATGTCCTCACCATCATAATCTTATGAATTGCAGCCAATCCCATATCCTGATTTCACATCCTACTCTCCTTCTAACTTAATTTGTCTTAAAATCATTCCACTATACAACTGCCATCTTCTGAAGAACTTATCTTTACTGCCTCCAGCCTTCTCATGTCTGTTCAGCTGCCTCCAGAATAATATTGTTACTCTATGGTAACAATGGAATAAAGTAAAGTATAATTTCCAACTGTGAGCTCTTCCGTACCCAACCAATGTTGTTTCCTGTATGGCAGCAGTTACAAGGAAATTTCCTTAACTCCACCACTGCTAGCACGGTCTGGCCTGGAGCAAACAGGGTTCTGACATTCTAGCTTGTAATACTTGTAATATGTTTAGCCATTACCTGAAATGCATGACCATTTCCATTTGCTAGGTTTGACAGGCCTGGCTTAAATCCCATGTAAGTCAGTCTTGACTTGCTGTACTGTTTTTATAACAAGTTAGTTTCAGATGCAATGGCTTACTAGGCCAATCCGTCATATTCAGTTAATAGGAATGATATGTCATAACCTGCTGGCCTCCCAGGGACAGGTACTTGTTGTTTCACCCTAGTCCTCTTGCCTTCCCAGGTTAATGAGCACGGACTGCTTGGATCTGAAATCAGTTTCCATTCTCCTGGATACAGTTTGTTCACAGCACATTATTCCATAATATTTGGTGCAACTCTTCTGGGCTTTCCCAAGATGAGCTATCACCGTCTTGGAGAACTAGTAACTACAACTCTATAAGTACTAAATTTATTCTATACTCAAAAAGCTAGACTAGTGAGATGTTAAAGATTGCAAGTTAAAATACTTCCCCCCTCCTCTTTTAAATGTTTTTACTATCGGTAGGTCAAAAAATCAACTAATTATTATTTACAGGACTCAAGATGTGTTACGCAATTTGCAAACAAAATAAAATGAGTCCTTTTCTCAACCAACCTAAGACAACAGTCGCAGGGTGGCAGAAAAGGATATAACATACCAGCACAGGGAACAAATTTAGGGTTAGCCGACAGGCCTTGAGAGCCATAATTTCTGTATTTTCTTTAAACAGAGCACCTCCTTCTGTCCCTCTTCCTCTCATGTCCAGCTGACTTCTGCTCAACTCATTCATTGCTGACCAAGCTGAAGAACATCCTTGTTCCCCATCTCTTTTCTACTCTGCCATTTCCACCCACAAACAGACAGGAAGTGGGGGGCGAAAACATTGACTTGGTGAATTTGAAATAGGATACATAGCTTTTCATCTGCAGGTCACTGGTGTGAATATAGACAAGGTCAGTAGTGACCAACAATCTCTGCTATCTAGTCTTGTTTCAGTTTGGTGCTTTATGTGAAAAGCTCTTTTACTGCAGTTCCCATGGATCAGTATATGCATCATACAAATCATCATCAGGTTTTGCACTCTTGTGGGCAGTATCAGCTAAGGCACTAAACAGAAGACTAAAAGACCTCTCCTCTCATTCCTAGAGTTGAGACACACTGTACTCCTGGGGGAATTCTGCACCACTGCGCAATACAGAATTTCAGAGTAACAGCCGTGTTAGTCTGTATTTGCAAAAAGAAAAGGAGGACTTGTGGCACCTTAGAGACTAACCAATTTATCTGAGCATAAGCTTTCGTGAGCTACAGCTCACTTCAAGGGATGCATACTCATGAATGCATCTGATGAAGTGAGCTGTAGCTCACGAAAGCTTATGCTCAGATAAATTGGTTAGTCTCTAAGGTGCCACAAGTACTCCTTTTCTTAATGCAGAATTTGTGCACAATTTCACGTTTTTCCTGCAGAACTGGGGCTGCTGAGCTTCTGGCTGCCACTGTGGGCTGCTGGACGCTGCAGAGCCCGGCTCTTAGTGAACAGAATGCCCAGCCCACAAGGATAGAGGCTGCATGTTCTGGCTGCTGGTTTGATCCTCATTCTCCCAGGGACAGGAGACCCAGCTCTGACAAACAGTGAGGATGGACAGGGCCACACCACACCACGTTCCCTGGCTGGACAGTAAAGAAGCTGGGGTGGACTAAAGGCTCTGGGGGTGCAGGTATCTGGGACGGGTGCTGCCCCAGAGCTGGGCTCTGGGGGGAGTGGGGTGTGGGTGTCTGGGGGGCAGAGGGGTGTGGGTGTGTAGGCTCTGGATAGATACGCTGGAGGGTAGGGATAGGATACAGAGGGACCTAGACAAATTAGAGGATTGGGCCAAAAGAAATCTGATGAGGTTCAACAAGGACAAGTGCAGAGTCCTGCACTTAGGATAGAAGAATCCCATGCACTGCTACAGACTAGGGACCGAGTGGCTAGGCAGCAGTTCTGCAGAAAAGGACCTAGGGGTTACAGTGGATGAGAAGCTGGATATGAGTCGACAGTGTGTCCTTGTTGCCAAGAAGGCTAGCGGCATTTTGGGCTGTATAAGTAGGAGCATTGCCAGCAGATCGAGGGACGTAATCATTCCCCTCCATTCAGCATTGGTGAGGTCTCATCTGAATACTGTGTCCAGTTTTGGGCTCCACACTACAAGAAGGATGGGCAACAAAAAGATTAGGGGGCTGGAGCATATGAGTTATGAGGAGAGGCTGAGGGAACTGGGATTATTTAGTCTGCAGAAGAGAAGAATGAGGTGGGATTTGATAGCTGCTTTCACCGACCTGAAAGGGGGTTCCAAAGAGGATGGATCTAGATTGTTCCCAGTGGTAGCAGATGACAGAACAAGGAGTAATGGTCTCAAGTTGCAGTGGGGGAGGTTCAGGTTGGATATTAGGAAAAACTTTTTCACTAGGAGGGTGGTGAAACACTGGAATGCATTACCTAGGGAGGTGGTGGAATCTCCTTCCTTAGAGGTTTTTAAGGTCAGACTTGACAAAGCCCTGGCTGGGATGGGGATTGGTCCTGCTTTAAGCAGGGAGTTGGACTAGATGACCTCCTGAGGTCCCTTCCAATCCTGATATTCTATGATTCTATGATTCTGGGGATGCCTCGTGGCTAGGCTCTGGGGGGAAGAGGGTACAGGTGTCTGGTCTCTGGGGATGTCCACGGCTGGACTCTGGGGGAAGGGTGGTGTGGATGTTTAGGCTTTGGGGGGGGACCCCATGCCTGGGCTCCAGGGCGGGTGTGAGTGTCTGGGCTCCGGGGGGAGGGGAGTGCAGGTGTCTGGGCTCTGGGGTTCCCACGCAGCCCCAAGTACCCCCAAGTGGAACTGGGTTGTCATAGGTATTTCTTTAACTCTCTACTCTGGGGCGGGTGGGGAGGGGAAGATCTTTTTTGTTGTTGTGTGTATTGTTGACATACTTGTTGACAGGTATTTTGAAATAAATTACTGGTGTTATTACATTATGTTATTTTGACAAATAAAATATACAGAATTTTAAAATATTGTGTGCAGAATTTTTAATTTTTTGGCACAGAATTCTCCCCAGGATGATGTGGTGAGGCTCAGACCACTATGCCTCTTCTATGGACAGAGGACTTCAATTTGTAGGATTTCAATCCAGCACCTTTCACCAACACAAAATTAAAAAAAGAAAATAGCAAATCTAGGTCTGATTTCTAAAAGATTAGCAAAAAACAACAAGCTATATAATAGCACTGATTCTAGACATCACCACAAACAACTTAAAGGGAAATCCTAGAAATAGATTTTCTGTGCCTATGATGATCTTTTTAACTACTTGCCAGGCAAACCCAGCAGTGGTAAGGAACCACTCACTGATCTACTAAACCTCCAGATTTCAGAGTAACAGCCGTGTTAGTCTGTATTCGCAAAAAGAAAAGGAGTACTTGTGGCACCTTAGAGACTAACCAATTTATTTGAGCATGAGAAGTGAGCTGTAGCTCACGAAAGCTCATGCTCAAATAAATTGGTTAGTCTCTAAGGTGCCACAAGTACTCCTTTTCTTTAAACCTCCAGAGTTTTAGAACACTTAAAATACACTCAGCAGATCGCAAACTAAAGCAAGTGTGAAGCA